GGGGTACATACGGTGAGCGGACCGGCGGCGGACGTGTGTAGCGCGTAGAGGTTCGGCCGCTGCGACGCGGGGAGATGCGAGGTGTCGGTCGTCCCGGGCGGTTGCGGCGTCGCAGGCGGAGGGAGGAAGACGTAGCCCGTCGCGCGGTCGATGGCGCGGGTGAGGTTGAGCATCGAGTGCTTGTCCTAGCGAACGCATAGACGGAACCGTCAGCGGAAGCTGTGTGAGAGGCATAAAAAAAAGGGAAACGGGTGGGGGGTTTTACCTCGACGGCGAGCGTCTCGAAGCCGACGAGGCCGTAGTCCTCGATGAGCGAGCAGATGGCCATGTTGAGCGCCTTGTAGCGCGGCGTTTGAGAGGAGAGCGCGGTTTCGAGGTGGGAGAGGTCTTGGACTTCGGTGTAGAAGTCGAGGTTGAAGTCTGTTGAAACGCAAGATACGGTTCGGTTTTTTTGGGCCGTAGGTGTGGACACCGGCGGGGGATGCGAGCGTACCTAGGTCGCCGTACTGGGTGATCAAGTCGACCTTCGAGAGCACGTTGATGTGCGGGAGCTCGAGGTGCAGCATCGCGCGCAGGGAGAGCAGCAGAACGGAGATGTACTTGGACGCGTCGGTGATGTAGTGCGCGTCGCAGAGGTGGACGGCGGCCAACTGCGCGCCTTGACATCCGTCAGCACAGAAAAAAAAAAGCAGAAAGCTGATGACAGTCAAAGGAGGGGATAAGAACGTCCCGCGCACCCTGAACCCGACCTTGGACAGCCGGCTCACGATGCGCTTCACGCTCTCGTGGTTCGTGCTGAGCTCGACCTGGCCCGGGAGGTCGAACAGGACGTAGGCGTCCTTCCCGAGCGCGCGCAGGCCGTCCTCGAGCCAGTCCAGGTTGGCCTCGAGGTACTCCATGCAGTACAGCATCGCGCCGTTCGGCCCGAGCCCGTGCGCGTCCATCGCGTCCTGGAGCGTGATGAGGTCGGCGACGTCGAGCGCGCACGGGTACGGGATGCGCTCGTTGGCGGGGTCGAGGTTGACGACGGCGATGGGCCGCTCGAGCGCCGTGAACAGCTGGTGTTTCCCGTGGCAGTAGGTCGACTTTCCGCTGCCAGGGGCGCCGCAGACGACTTCGCCGAAAGGCATCTTCGGGGAGGAGGAAGGGGAAGAAGAAGATCCAAGTAGTGGCTGAAGATTCTCTTCCACTCCCGTCCACGGCGAGCCTTCGTCTCTGGCCACATTCGCGACTTCTGCTCGACTGGTACTAGAAACCATGTCCTTCACGCAGATGCGCGATGCTCGGCAAAAACGCCAAGGCAAGATAAAGTCGTATGTCGCCAGTACACAACCTCCTGCGGAGACCTCAACACCCTCTACCTCTGAAGATCAGCCTCGCGCGATTGCGCAACGCGAGCCTGATGCACATAGCTCACCCTCGATATCCGACCAGTCGACCATGCGGGTTGACGCTTCCGCAATCATCCAGGATCAGGAGCAGACAGAATCAGCAAAGCCGGTGGACAAGGATGGGCTGTACGCCTGCATACCGCCCACGCTGGACCTGCGCGAGTCCCCGAAGAGCGGTCGAGGATTGTACGTGAAGGTGGCTATCCGACGAGGTGTGCACATCGGCAATACGATGCCCTCGTGAACGCACGCTAACCAAGGAAACCCGTCAGGCTCATCGCTGCTCTCCACTCGCCCGCACGTCTCCGTTCTCTCTACCCCGTACCTATCCTCCCACTGCTCCTCGTGCGCCGCACCGGCATCCCCTGAGCGTCCTCAGTTGAAACGATGCGCCAAGTGTCACGTTGTCCACTACTGTAGCCAGGTACAGTTCCCCGAATCCACCGCGTTCGCGCTCCATCCTCATGTCCGTATCTCGCGCACACAGAAATGCCAAAACGCCGACTGGAAAGCGCACAAGCCCGAATGCGACGCCCTCCAGCGATGGGCCACCGCCGCGCCGTCCCCAGACCTCGCGGTGCCCGAAGAAGCCGTGCGATGCCTCGGCAGAATGCTCTGGCAGAAACAGCGCAACCCGTCGAGCATCTGGGTAACGTTTCCCCTCCCTTAACTCCTTCGTCTTCCATGATCTGAACGTCCATCTCACGATGCCCTACAGTCGAGAGAGATCGACAGCATGCAATCCCGTAAGCATGCGTCTGTGCCCATCTCGGAACCCCCTCTCTTATGACCCGGTACCCGGTGCAGACAGATCGTCTCTCCGCCCCGAGTCCTTCGAATCGCACGCTTACCTCGCCCACGCGCTCGTGCGCTACCTCGGCCTCGACGCCCCCGAAAAGCTCGCGTCCTTCGGCCTCCGCTCCGCGGGCGACGTCGTCGACCTCATCTCACGCGTACGTCCACTTCACCCCCCCCCCCCCGCTCGCGGTCTGTCTCGTGCTCTCGCGGAAACCCTGATGCC